ACATTTAGAGATTTTGTCTTGCAGATACCTTTGTTTGAATTTGTTATTTATTGCGTATGACTAGGGATGTCAAATGTACGGATTGGGTTGAAATTAGAGATATGAAAATAGGTTGAAATAGAAATTGGGTTGGATCTTGACCTGCTCAAGTTTACTTTGGGCTCAAATGGGTTGGGTTTAAATGGGCTAAAAAATGGGGTGGGTCTTGACCCGTCCAATTTGACCCGATTAATTTCAATAATTTTAACATAGCTATATTTAACTTTTATAATCACAATTCGAATTTCAGCTCAAGAATTTTTATTTTTTTTAAAAGTAACAAATGGATAGATAAATCCTAAAAGATGTTAAATAGATAATAATTCATATCTTTAATATAGGAACATATCTTAGTAAATAATTTTAAAACGGGTTGAAATTGGAGATTGAATTGAGCTCAATTGAGGATTCTCTTAAAATGGGTTAGACTTGAATGAGTTGAGATTGAACCCAATTCAAATTATCTTGAGCTCAACCCTTAAAATTCTGGACGGGTTGGACAGATTACTTATGTTTGGGTTCATTTTTGACACCCCTACGTATGACTAATTTTTTAGATGTTCTCTATGTCTTGAACCTCATAATTGGCTTCTTATAAGTCATCATGTGTACTATGTCTCTCTGTTCAAACATCATTTAATATCAACAGACTTTCTTACAACATCAATAACTATTACTACGCCTCAGTCCTAAATGAACTGAGGCTGCCTATATGAATTCTTAATTTCGTTTAAGCTCATTCATATCATTAAACAGAACGTTCTTTGAAAATCTCCAACATTTTACACCCGCTTATCTACACAAAAGCTAAAAATATATTTCTAAAATAATTTTTGGTGTGTGTGTTGGACAAACTACTACATATGCAGTTAGCTTACCTGGATGGGATGCTTCTTTCTCGAAGAGTGAAGGTAAAGACCAAGACATTGAAAATTCTGAATTTGATCGTACTTTCCCCAGGTCAAACGGCTATTGATCCTGGCCCGATGAGAAAAGGGTTAAACTCATACTTGCCTCAACCTAATCTACTTGGATCCCCAACACATTCTATTAAGGCATTTATTCCCTTGATAAAAAAGAAGAGTTCAACTAAAGTAATCTCTAACAGTGGTTGTTCTTTGCACCTAAACTTGTGGCTTCTTTCATTAAAGATAAGTGTGAGCTAATTTTCTCGCTAAACCCCTATCCCACCAGTCTTTCTCCTTTATGGGTCTGGATCTTTCGTATCGTTTCGATCGTCGTGTCCAATCGGGAACAAATAAATAAATAAATGTTCTTTTGGAAAAATGTATAATAATACATCTATCAAGACGAAAGCCAAAGGTGAATCTCGCAGGTGGACATACCGAACTGAAATAAGATTTTCAGATTGACATCTTGATACACTAATTTACATAGTTAGCATTATACGTATATAGGGAAAAGGCATAAATTCCCCCTCAAACTTGTACCGAAAAGTCAGTTTCACACTTCAACTATTATGACGACCTATTATACACCCTTACTATTTAAAAGTGAATTTAATACCACTTTGAGACATATAACACCACTCTTACAGTATGTGGTGTATTACACTCGCTGCCACGTCAGCGCCACATCAGCCCCACGTCAGCTCCACATTATAAATTATAATTTTTTATATTTTTTTCTTTATTAATTAACATTTTTTTGTTAACTTTATTTTACATTAATTAATCCCTAACAAATTATTAAAATTCTCTAATAATCATATCTTCTTCCAATCTAAATCCTACCCACTTTTATCCCTAATCTGACTAGAATAATTATTCATTTGAAGTTATATCACAATTCTCTTTGTCTTCTCCGGCGAAGAACAATCAACCTATCACCACCACAAACCTATCTCCATAACGTCATCCCCTCCTATTTTCCCGACAACCAACCCATCTCCAACAAAGAACAACCACCAAACAGCTACCCAAAACTCCAAATCAGTCATTGACGAACACCGAATCAAACCCCTTTACCTTACCCCTTTTCGATTTTCTTACTTTTAGTTTTTATTGCAGGTGTTTCGGCGAGCTCAAAGCTTCAACCGTGGATCTAATGATGTTTCAATGAGCTTCGTTTTTAGATCCATGACGTTTGACTAAGTTTTGTGCTTCCAAATCTAAACAACCAACAAATAAGGCAAGTGGGCGTCTTAATATGCACATACAAATATATGAATACACAAATGAAAAGAAATCAATTTTAACTATAAAAAAAAAAAAGGCAAGTAGGTGTATTATATGCATGCCTACAGGCTACAAGTATATTTGGGGGTTTTATGGTTGAAGGCTTTGCTTGTATTTTGCTGAAAATTTGAAGGTGAAAGTGGAAAGATTAGGAGAACAAAGTCTCGAATTCTTAGAATCATTGTGAAATTTCAATTAATTTTTTTTCTAGGTATAATGATGAAATTGAGTGAAAAATTGTAGAAATGTGATAAGAAAAATGAAATTAAGTGACAAATTGAAAAATTGTGCAAAGAAAAATATGAAGAAGAAAAATTCTGAAGGAAAATAAGAGAAGAGGAACATGAAAAAGGAGAAAACAGGGTTTGGGGGTTAAAAAAAGTTACTTTTTTTATTTTATTTTCAACTTTTATTTTTATTTTAAATTTTATTTCCATGTCAGTTTTGAGGTGGTATTAATTACACTTTGAACAAGAATAGGTGTGTAATACGTCGTTATAATAATTGAAGTGTGTAACTGATTTTTCGATACAAGTTAAAGAGGATATTTATGCCTTTTCCCTACGTGTATATATTGATGCATGAATGTGAAAAAAGGTACACTGCTACTGTAACTCAATATAAGAAACGAAAACAATAGCAGGGGAAGGATGAAAATATATTGTCTGAACATCTATAATTGCAACATGTCTACCAAAGGAAAATTAACTGCACAACATTTATATGTTAAAAACATTATCTCAGCCCCATTCTTCTTTGTCAAAAGATTGGTTGCGTTTGAAATTCTGTCGATCCTCCTCACAAACACATCATTTAAGCCCAAAAATTCAACAGCACGTAAGTTTAAAGGACCAAAAAGATATACGAGGACATCAAAGGGTTCAAAAGATGAAAAGTAAACATACGAAGAAATCAAAGGGTTCAACATCTACTATATATCTACATAAAAAATACTTTCTCCGTTTAAAAAAGAATGACCTACTTTCCTTTTTAGTCTGTTTAAAAAAGAATGACCTCTTTCTTTTTTTGGTAACATTTTAATTTCAGTTTTTCACGTGGCATGTTTAAGGCCACAAGATTAAAGGGCAATTTGTACATTTGACATAACTTTAATTTAGGATCACAATATTCAAAAATCTTCTTTATTTTCTTAAACTTTGTTCCAAATCAAACTAGGTCATTCTTTGTGAAACGGATGATTGACCCATCATATCATCCGAAGAAACAGAAAATACCAAAAAGTTCGAATTCACAGCTAATAACATTGATTCAATTGGCATTGACATAATAGGAATATTTCGTCTATTGTCCCGGCCATTGTAGCACGTGTGTTGATCAGGGCATAAGGGGCATGATGACTTGACGTCATCCTCACCTTCCTCCGACTTATCACCGGCAGTCTGTTCAGGGTTCCAAACTCAACGATGGCAACTAAACACGAGGGTTGCACTCGTTGTGGGACTTAACCCAACACCTTACGGCACGAGCTGACGACAGTCATGCACCACATGTGTCCGCGTTCCCGAATAGTACATTTTATCGCTCATGAAACAACTACAATAACGGTCACAATATATTGAACACATAAAACTAAAAAGGGCTATGTCATTGCCTCACTTCTACCAGCAGACATAGAGTGTTTATCTTGAAAGTAATATCATTATTCCAATAACAATATCATTAACACTGCAAAATCAGAGGCCTCGCTTTTCTTTATATACTGCAATCTCACTGTTAAAAGACACGAATTTGAAAAGCATACAACTCAATTTATTTTAACAAGTTCAAAACAATTCTTATTCCAACACAATGCACACCAAAAAAAAAAAAAAAAGAGAATCAAATGGAATAAGTAAGATGGACAGACACGGTTGGTATTATCATATTATTAAAGTTGCTAATGAAGAAGGAAAATATATGATACTACATTAAAAATTATCTTTAGCGGCAATTAACTAACGCTAATAGCTTAATTACCACTAAAATGTATTTTTAGCAGCAATTAGCACTCTTTGTATATGTCCTTGCCTTTAGCGACATTAGATCTAATGACACTTAACTAATGCTGATGAAGACTTTAGCACTCTTTATTAATGTGTTTATTTATTACTGTTAAAAGTAGTATACTACTAATTGATTACTAGAGTGTGAGATATATGTTACATACTCGAAACAAAAACTGAAAAGACAACAATAATAAAAATAATATAAAGCCAGATGAACAGACCAAAACGCTCAGTCATCTCTTTTAATTAATTTTAAGTTTCGAACAGTTACTGTGTGAAAGACTTTAAGTAGGGGAAGCCGGAAGGGAAAACAAAAGAATAAAAAATATTTAGATGGACAAAATGAAAGGGAAAAGGGCCAAAAAGTGGTGGTTAGGAACAAGGAGTTCATCGGAACTTTTTTGGCAGAAAATTACATTGTATGTACAAGATTGAAATTATTTTTTATATGTATACAATAGATGTTAAATTAAAAATTCCCCTTTGGGTGTTTACTTTTTCATATTTTGAATTCCTCCGTGAAAATCACTACTCGAACATTGAATATGATCAACTAGATAGATATAAATAGATGTTTTGGGCGTTACAGAATTCAGATTAGTCTAGTATATGGTTTCATAGAAGATCAAATATATATCCAATTCTCTGATCTCAAAATGACATAAACAGCGAAGACAAATTCCCACAAAGCAATATAATATGTACACATCTCTCAATTAGCTTCAAAATAAATGGAACTCTTAAATTTAAAACGGTTTAATTTACAATAGCTTATAAGATCCATCAATATATATATCAGTATGATCACAAAGGATTGCTAATATAGAAAACCCAATGTTGTCCATCAACTTGAACAGTGAGATTATGAGCACGAGCGAACAAATTGACAGCCCTTCTCACTCCTCTGTTATCAGCCGCGGTGAAATAGTCATGTCCAAATATAACTCCACCTTCTAAACCGGGCTTCAACAGCTTGAAAGCCCGGTTTATATCGGACCAAGCCGAGTGAAAATCATGTCCGGCATCAACCTCAATCAACTCACCAAACACACCCCACTCACACAGCTTCTCCAGCGCTGATCCGCTGGAGAAAGGCGTGTACACTACGGTCTCCGTAGCGTTCGCCTGCATCACGTTCTGCATGAACTGATACATCAGCAAAACGTCTCCATTTACCATCTTCATGTCTTTCATCCGCAAATGATCTGAAAAACCCGGCCATCCACGAAAATCATCTATACAGACGATTTGAGTGTCGTATAAACCCAACCGACGGGTCAATTCAAACATATGAAGAGCAGATGCACCCAAAAACGTACCTACTTCAATTATGGTCTTGGGTCGGACCTTCCGGATTAAGTTCTCGAAAACCGCGCCGTTTGATCCCCATCCTTTGATCCACTTTTTCCTGAGGAGACTCTCCACGTGTGATGGCGGGAAATTCTCCCACGGAGATGTTCCCTTGAAGACACGTTCCAGAATTTTCCGACGGATGTGTTGCTGTGGAACCGCCTCACCACATACCGCCCCAAAATCACTGTGGTCGCCGCCTAATTCTGTTGTTGCACGGTTAATTACCGTGTTTACATGGGCGACCACAGTGTTTATATGATCAGGTGGGTTGCTATTGTTACGCGTAGAGCTAGACAGATAACCGAGCGAATAAGCTAAAAGGAGACAAAGGAAGTACAAAACGGGTTTAGCAAAAGATGAAATTTTCTTTGATGAGTAACGAAGATGCTGAGGTTCTTGTTTCATGCTAGGCAAATTTACAGTGAATAATTATATTTGATGAAAGTATTAAAAGCTTGGAAATTTTTTTGGGCTCTCTACCTATTTTGTTGCTACAATTTTACTTATGGTTGAATAATTAATGATTATTTTGTTTGCTTGCTTATTGTACTTTCTCTCTTTTTCTTATATCTGAATTAGTCAACTATATTATTAAATTAAATGCAGAGGGAGCCATCTTAAGTTTAGGTGCATTTTTACATTATTATATATTATATAGTAAAAAATTTGTTAGGGACAGTCTCAGTGATCTCATCAGATTTAGCTTCTTAATATTAACTTGCCTATTTTATAATAATTCTTCTTTTAACTTAATTTATTATTAATGTAAATTAAAAAAATTAAGATTTGACTCATTTGCCCTTTTATAATACTCCCCTCCGTTTCAAAATAAGTGAATTGTTGAGAATTTTTCCATAGGTCAAAATAAGTAAATTGTTCGAAGTTCAAGAGAATTGTTGGAATTTTTTTCATTTTTGCCCCTCATTTACATCTTATAGGTGATAATTTCAAGAGAGTTACTTGTTTATATTTATGGTTTTATTCTTGAATTATATTTTCAAGAATAGTTTGAAATATCTAAAAGGGCGAAAGTGGAAAATGATGTTTATTTTATATCCTAAACTTTTTTTTCTTAACAAGTGTCAACAGTTCAATTATTTTGAAATTGAGGGAGGACTATATACTAGTATATTCTTTTGATTAATTAATTTTCTGAGTTTTTAAATTTATTTTTATTTTTTTAAAATAATTCCTTTAATCTTTCATTTTCATAGACTATTGGCACTGCTGGTAGAGCCGGTCAAATTAGGATCATACCAATCATTTCCGAATTATATTAGTAGAAGAAATACTAACTAATAAACATCAAGAGTCTAGTTTTATGAATCACCAAGAATTCATCTATAATTGTCCAACTTCCATTAATTTTATATGAGTTTAGTTGATATTCTTATCTAGAAATAAGTTATTCCACTGTGATAAATTATTCTATCAATAAAGTACAAGTGGTGGAATAAATAATCTCAGGACTGCTTAATACCTCCAACCAAATACAGGGCAATATTTTATCTCTAGGAGTATTATACCTTATGTCTCACACCAAACAACTCATAATTGTATAATTTTATATCAGTTTTCAGACCACATTTCACTTCCTTTGCCTGCAATTTTCAATATTTTAATTTGTCAAATCAGGTTACCTTAAATTGAACATTAATTGTATCTGCAGTAGAAAATATAACTTTATTAGGATAACTTAATTGTTCATATAACAAAACTTATCCAGTTTAAGCAACAAAAAAAAAATGGCAAATTGCAAAATAAATAAATGCTTAAGAAGATGAATTTGTTAATTTTCAATGAAAGAGAAGTATGTTTTTGGTGGGTGTTTGATGGGGTTCACGAGCTTGATGACTCTTTCTTTATAAAAAAAAAGATTGTGAGAAGAAATAGGGTGCATCTGTCGATTTGATTTAATTTTATGTATTATCGATTTGACTTATTGGTTTTTGAATAGGCTAAAACAATAACTAAATCAATAAAATATTTTTTGCTTTATCGATTTTTCGTCTTTAACGGTTCGATTTCGATTTAACCAATAAAAAAATGCTCATAAAATATACATATGACTTTTCCAACAATTTGGCTCAAATATAAGACAATGATGTAACTTTACATAATGCTCATAAAATAGAAACATTAGTCAGTGATATGAGAAAAACTATACAAGTGCAACGCAAATAAAATAACTAGGATAATAATGTAAATTGAAGGCTAAAGGAAAAGGTAGTTATCAATAAGATACATATATTATAGTAGTATTTAATATTTATATAGGGGTAAAGGAGTAAATTACTACTACTTTAATGGATTATCGATTTATCCAATAACCCAATAGTAAAAATTAAAATTGAATTGATAACCCAACATATTTTTTTTATAAAACCATTAAAAATTGTTAACCCAATAATCTAATAGCAATAAACAAATATCATTTTTTAATTCAATTTATTGATTGATTCGATTTTTACACACCTATGAAGAACTCTAATAGCGACAGTTAATTTAAAGGGGATTATATCTTTTTAGGTTAAATGGAATTCTTTAAAAAGATATACAGTAAAGTATTTAATTAATTAAAAGAGAGGTTAATGTTAAAAAAAAACTAGATCTAAATTAGTTATATGTTATAAAGTTTGGCTAATTGGACTTTTATTTATATTTATAAAAAGTCCAAACCTTAAGCTGCTAAAACGTCATAATCTAGTGTGTTTCTTTAAATGTCAAGACTTAAATTTGTATATAATATATATAAAAAAAGTAGCAACCTTGTGTAATATATTATGGGTTATGTTTTTTGATAATGATATTATAACTGTTGTTAGACGACTAATAAAAATGTTCAAGGATGGAAACATGAAAGAATTTGGTTAACAAAAAATGAAAAATGGGACTTCCTTCTAACAGATTTATGCAATTACACCAACAAAAAGAACTTGAGACTTAATTAAAGAAATTCAAAAAATGAGTTAAAAGTATCTGTTAAATCTTGAAATTAAAAAATAACGATTATGATTTAGTTAAGTAAGATCAAAAGAAAAGCGATTTGGCTAAATTATTGAAAAATATAGAGAGCATACTCCCACTTAAATTTTTTTAAATCTTAAATAAGATTTATCTCCTGCATTAAATTTCAATATATATATACTACGTTAAATTGCTAGTTTTTGCATCCGTTATACTTTGTCAAATTATACTTAAATCTTTATTGTCTGCATAATGTGATCTCATGTTTATTTTGCAATTTAAGAAAAATCTAGTGTAAAAAAGTTAGACTCCATGTGTATTCATCGGAAATAAATATTCAACACTATCTCTTAATTTTTTAAAGGGAAAAGGGTCAAAAATGCCCTTAAACTATGTGAAAGGAACAAAAATGTCCTCCGTTTATAGTTTGGCTCAAAAATGTCCTTACCGTCAATATTTTGGTTCAAAAATGCCCTCCATTTGTAGTTTGGTCAAAAAACGATCTTGCCGTCAATACTTTGGTCCAAAAATGCCCTTATTGTTATTTAATGGGTCAAAATGCTCATTTTTCAAATAAGTATATTATTTTTTTCTTTTTAATACATTCTTTTTCTATTAATGTTTTTTTTAAAAAAATTAGCAAATGTTTATCTTACTTCAATTCAGAAAAAAATAAAAAATAAAAATATTTCTTATTTTATTTATCATTATTTCTTATCGTTATATAAATATAAATTAATGATGAATATACTATGATCTTATATACATGACATATATTATCTGTCGAAAGGGTACATGAAGTTATTCTATTTTAATTGATAAAATGAGATTAAGAAGAAGAAAATATTTCCTACATTTTTATTTGTTAAAGTGATTTTAGAAGAAAGAAAACAAGAATAGTGTTCTTAAATAATTTTTGTTTTGTTTTTCATACTGTGTCCGGTACCCACATTGGAGCCCTATTAAATCTGGATTCACGCCGGAAAGTCCCACATTGAGGGGTTAAGCGCTCCCTAACAAAGGCGACTCTGTACCCAAGGGGACTCGAACAACCTCATGGTTAAGGATGAAGGAGTATATTTACCACTCCACCACAACCCTTGTTGGTGTTCTTTAATATTATTTAAATAAGGAAGAAGATGTGTTTAAAAAGAAAAAAATATACTATATTTATTCGGAATAGGGCATTTTTGACCCATTTTGTAACTATAGGTTCATTTCTGGACTAAAGTATTGACTGCAAGGACATTTTTGAGTCAAAGTATTAACGATAAGGACAGTTTTGAGTCAAACTATAAACGAAGGGCATTTTTATTCCTTTCACATAGTTTAGGGGCATTTTTTTTACCCTTTTCCCCTTTTTAAATACAATTTATAATTACATTTGAGTAAATTTTTTATCAAACAAACACAAAATTTACAATTGTTGCATTTTTGGGTCAACTCCCTCTCTCTCTATATATATTTTTTAACACGTGTGTTGCATGTGTATCTCATGCTAATAAGTATAAACTTTTTAAAATGATATAACTATTGTTATGATATGGTTATGATAACAGCTGCAAGTTTCTATTTTTGTTTCTTTTTAATAGCTGTTTTTCTTTTTGTTTGCTTTTGGTTTGGGATGTTGTTTTTGGCTTCTTGAACCTTTGGTGTCAAGAGCATTTATTATTTTATAAATAAAATATCCACTATGTTTAGTGGTTCCCAAAAAAAAAAAGTATTAGCGATAGAGATATTTTTAAATTAAACTATTGATGACATAAGTATTTTTAGATCAAATTATTAACTGATGACATAAGCATTTTTGGATCAATTTTTTTATTGAACAAGCATTTTTGAAACAAACTACTGATGACATAAGCATTTGCATCCGTTATATTTTTTGTCAAATTATACTTAAATCTTTACTGTCGGCATAATGTCTCATGTTTATTGTGCAATTAAAGAAAAATTCTAGTGTGAAAAGTTGGACTCCATATGCATTCTTCGGAAATAAATATTCTAACATTACCTTTTTATTTTCTAGTATAATTATATTTATTGTGTAGATCCATTAAAGATGTGGAATAAAAATAAGGTTTTTTCATAATAATCAGGTAGATTGACTAAAATATTTATCGAACAAACATAAATTTTATCATTTTTTGGGTCAACTTTTCTAGAAATGTAGTGAATTTTAGACTCTCTTTGTTTCATATACTGAAGAAGTGGTGTTCTTTTGTGTTACCCATTTGCTGAAAAGAGCATTACTGTCCATTTGCATTTTATTTTTTTTTTATTTTTTTTATTTTTTTTAGTCCATTTGCATTTTAGAAATTGCTTTAGTTCTTTTTTATGCGGTTTATTAAATTGAGATTTCTCTAATAGAAATTCTTATTTCGAACTCAATTCTGTTTTCTGAGATTTGTTGTTTTTGTAAGCTCAAACTAAAAAACTTGGGTGTGTACCTTAAGGGGTCGTTTGGTGTGAGGGATAATACCATATAGTCCCGGGATTAAATTATAGTACCGCTTATTTT